AGTGAGAGGCCCGCGTATCGCAAAAAAACAAAACAAAACAAAACAAAAACCTGAATGAGATCCTTGCTGAATAGAGTAATCTTGGTTGTAATTTTTTCCCTTTCATCACTTTAAATATGTCCTGCCACTCCCTTCTGGCTTGCAGAGTTTGAGCTGATAGGTCATCTCTTAACCTTGTGGGGATTCTCTTGTATGTTATTTCTTGCTCTTCCCCTGCTGCTTTTAATATTTTTTCTTTGTGTTTAATTTTTGATAGTTTGATTAATATGTGTTTTGACCTGTTTCTACTTGGATTTATCCTGTATGGGACTCTCTGTGCTTCCTGGGCTTGATTGATTATTTCCTTTCCCATGTTAGGGAAGTTTTCAACTATAATCTCTTCAAATATTTTCTCAGTCTCTTTCTTTTTCTCTCTTCTTCTAATACCCCTTTAAGTTGAATGTTGGTGTGTTTAATGTTGTCCCAGAGGTCTCTCAGACCCGTCCTCAATCTTTTCATTCTTTTTCCTTTATTCTGCTCTGTCGTATTTCCACTATTTTATCTTCAAGGTCACTTATCCATTCTTCTGCCTCAGTCATTCTGCTATTCATTCCTTCTAGAGAATTTTTAATTTCATTTATTGTGTTGTTCATCATTGTTTGTTTGGTCTTTAGTTCTTCTAGGTCTTTGTTAAACGTTTCTTTTATTTTTTCCATTCTATTGCCAAGATTTTGGATCATCTTTACTGCCCTTGCTATGAATTCTTTTTCAGGTAGACTGCCTATTTCCTCTTCATTTGTTTGGTTTAGTAGGTTTTTACCTTCCTCCTTCATCTGCTGTGTGTTTCTCTGTCTTCTCATTTTGCTTATCTTACTGTGTTTGGGGTCTCCTTTGCACAGGCTGCAGGTTCGTAGTTCCCATTGTTTTTGGTGTCTGCCCCTAATGGGTGAGGTTGGTTCAGTGGGTTGTGTAGGCTTCCTGGTGGAGGGGACTGGTGCCTGTGTTCTGGTGGGTGGGGCTGGATCTTGTGTTTCTGGTGGGCAGGGCCACATCCCATGGTGTGTTTTGGGGTGTTTGTGAGCTTAGTATGATTTTAGGCAGCCTCTCTGCTAATGGGTGGGTTTGTGTTCCTGTCTTGCTAGTTGTTTGGCATGGGGCATCCAGCACTGGAGCTTGCTGGCCATTGGGTGGAGCTGGGTCTTAGCATTGAGGTGGAGATCTCTGGGAGAACTCTCGCTGATTGATATTATGGGAGGCCAGGAGGTTTCTGGTGTCCAGTGTCCTGAACTCAGCTCTCCCACCTCAGAGGCTCAGGCCTGACACCAGGCCAGAGCACCAAGACCCTGTCAGCCACACGGCTCAGTAGACAAAGGGAAAAAAAGAAAGAAAAAGAAAGAAAAATTTAAAATAATTTAAAAAAATTCTTTTTATTATTAAAATAAAAAAAGAAGAGAGCAACCAAACCAATAAACAAATCCACCAATGATAGCAAGCACTAAAAACTAAACTAAGATAAACATAAAAATCAGAAACAAATCAGTTACAGACCACAAACCCCAAGTCTGCAGTTGCTCCCAAAGTCCACCGCCTCAGTTTTGGGACAATTCATTGTCTATTCAAGTATTCCACATATGCAAGTACATCAAGTTGATTATGGGGATTTAATCTGCTGCCTCTGAGACTGCTGGGAAAAATTTCCCTTTCTCTTCTTTGTTTGCATAGCTCCTGGGGTTCAACTTTGGTTTTGGCACCATCTCTGCGTGTACGTCACCCTCAGGCATCTGTTCCCTCCCCAGACAGGAGGGGTTTAAAGCAGCAGCTGATTAGGTTGCTCTTGCTCATTCAGACCAGGGAGAGGGAGGGGTATGGTAGTCATGATTGGAATGCGTGACCAGCCTGCAGCCTGCCGTGACTTTGCAAAAGCCTGAGGCATGCCATGTGTTCTTCCAGGGACATTGTCCCTGGATCACGGAACCCTGACATTGGCGGGCTGCACAGACTCCTGGGGTGGGGGGGTTATGGATAGTGACCTGTGCTTGCACACAGGATTCTTGGTGGTAGCAGCAGCAGCCTTAGCGTCTCATGCCCATCTCTGGTGTCCACGCTGTTAGCCGCGTGGCCACGGCTCATGCCTGTCTTTGAAGCTCATTTAGGTGGTGTTCTGGCTCTCCTCTCTTCACGCACCGCAGAACAATGGTTTCTTGCCTCTTAGGCAGTTCCAGACCTTTTCCCAGATTCCCTCCCAGTTAGCTGTGGTGCGCTAGCCCCCTTCAGGCTGTGTTTACTCAGCCAACCCCAGTCCTCTCCCTGGGATCTGACCTCCGAAGCCCGAGCCTCAGCTCCCAGCCCCCACCCTACCTGGTGGGTGAGCACACAAGCCTCTCGGGCTGGTGAGCGCCGGTCGGCACCGATCCTCTGTGCGGGAGCCTCTCCGCTTTGCCCTCCGCACCCCTGTGGCTGCGCTCTCCTCCGCGGCTCCGAAGCTTCCGCGCTCTGCCACCTACATTCTCTGCCCGCGAAGGGGCTTCCTAGTGTGTGGAGACCTTTCCTCCTTCACAGCTCCCTCCCAGAGGTGCAGGTTCTGTCCCTATTCTTTTGTCTCTGTTTTTTCTTTTTTCTTTTGCCCTACCCGGGTACGTGGGGAGTTTCTTGCCTTTGGGGAAGTCTGAGGTCTTCTGCCAGCGTTCAGTAGGTGGTGTTCCACGCGTAGATGTATTTCTGATGTGTTTGTGAGGAGGAAGATGATCTCCACTTCTTACTCCTCCGCCATCTTGAAGGTCCCCCGCTGCCATTGTTTCTAGTGTCATTTTCTCATAAACAATGTTGGAGGTTGACATTTCAAAAATACAAGTGATGGCCTTTCAGGATTGCTTCTACTTATAATTATCTCATATACATAGGTACCAATTAGGTACCAAAAATATTTAAAGAGAGAGAGACAGAAAGAGAAGGAAGGGAGGGATAGAGGGAGAGAAGGAGAGAGGAAGGGACGAAATATAGAATAATTCTCTTTTGTGTATGCCAAGAGCTGGATTTGGGCCATCAACCAGTGTTTATCCTGCCTTCCGAAAGCTTCAGTCTCCTTTCCCCTGTTCATTTTGACTTGAAAGTTTATTTTCTCACACCAGATGCTACCAAGGAAGTTGCAGGTTGATGTGAATCCTGTCATCACTTCATTTACTGCTGCAAGGCTAGGTTTTTGTATGTGGTACGTCTCTTGAACCCAGTGGGCAGTGAGTGGTGGTATGGGGTACCAATAGCCTTCCTGGAGTGAGTATGAATGCCAGCTGACCTTAGTGTGTAGGACCACCAAGGCACAAGCCTTTTTTCTGAGCTGGGACAATCCTCTGTGAATGGTACCATCATTCTCCTATCTGATAGCTTTAACACTGAATACTTAAATGCTAGCAATGCAATGGTAGCCATCATATTATAAACTCATTTGTAAATGTCTTCTAAGAAGTCCCAAACCAATCTGTATGCAAACCAGTGACATCTAAGTAATAAGTAATAAGTAATAAGCCCTTTATCTAGGAATGTTATCTTTACATTTTTAGCTGAATTGTGATCCATATCACAAACTAAATAATGGATTTTTTAATGGTATCTTTAAAAGGATGCCCAAATAATCCATCACTCACATATATCTCTGAATAGAGAAAATATCTCTTTCTTTCTCACCTCTCAGTGATATTACTGCATTATAAGGCACTTTGAGCTTATGGCTGGTTGGTTCAGTGCACTCATTCTGTGGTGTTAACGAGGCCAAGGTTATGGAGGCCAGTTAGCTTTTGCTCTGTGTACTGACCACAGACTACCCGGAATCACTCAAGAAACACTAGCACAGATGAGAAAGATCCCATGGCAAAACCTCAACATTTCTCAGAGTCCATCCTCCCCATGGGACAGGCAGAATGTGCTCCTTGGGTATGATCTTAGGGAGGAAATGAGTAGGAGCCTGGGAGGCCCCAGCATCTACCTCTGAACAAAGCAGGCCTGACATCTAGGCATTAACTTTGCTTTAGAAGCCCCTGTCATACCATTGATTTGCTGTGTAACCTTCATCACTAAAGCAGAGATAATAGGATAGAATGAAATGCGCTTACCTCCCAGGGATGTTGTGTGAATTAGCAAATTAACGAGTGTAAAGTGTTAACATTTATGTAAGTGCTGGTAGTTGTCATTATTTCTAGGGACCTAGTCTCATTCTAAATAGAGAATCTTAAGTGCATTATGCTTTTTTCAGAAAGGGATTTTCACCGATATCAGTTGCATTTAAGCTGAGCGTAAAACAGAGGTGATAATAACATAATAGTGATCATCACAATGCAGAGCTGTAAACCTTTTTCCTATTAAAGCTAAAACTATTTTCAGCAACTGTCAATGCTTTTAAACTTTGCTTTCCAAGCTTTGTGCCAACAGTTCTCTCTACAGTGATTATTTTTCCCATGACGGGTGAGGGGAATGGGACCTATTCATTATTCAGTCCCATAATGACTATATAATGTATTGAATTTGTTTACATCACATAATCAGGCAAAGACTTGGTAGCTGATTTGATTGCCATATATCGCAATCATTGTAAAAAATAACTCTTTTTTGCTCTGCCCACGCTGGTGTGCTCTAGAGATAGCCAACATACAGATTGAAAACTCATGGGGAATTGAAGTGCTTTCCAACAAAAGGCACTGTACATAGATCCTTTCAATTTAACATCTTTACCAAGGAATTTTGTTGTCGCCTGCTATTTCCAAGGGGACTGTGCTTGAGCGAATTCTTCCATTTCTTTCGTCACTCTGACTTCACTTACCAAGAAAAGTCATTTAATGCTGATTTCAAACTCTTGAACTCAGCCTGGGAGCTGCAGCATGAACACCTCAGATCTTGGCTCCTTGTTATTTACATATTCATTTGAAGCAATTTTTCAGGACTGTTTGAAAACCTCTCTCAACCTGACATCACATAACAACTGGGATCTAAAGCTCACCATGTTTTCGGTTCTTTTTCTCTTTGTCTTACAGATAACAGACGAGTACCTTTGGAAAGGTCACGCTCTCGCCACAATGGAGCTATCTCATCTAAGTGACTCCTGATGCCAAAGAATATGAAAATACTTAAGTAAACAAAATCATACATTTTGGGAAGAACAAAACATGCACTCAAGGGATGGAGAGGAAATAAGTACATTTCTGCAAAGATCAGGCTGAACTGGATGCAATAGCGTGCATATGTAAAGTTACTGCAAGACTCCTCCCACAGTTATACTAATATGAACACAATTACCAGGATTATAAAATGCGTTCCCTTTTAGTGTAAAGATGTGTATTATTTGCTACTGTGTGTGGCCTGACCGTGATGATGAAAGTGTAAGAAACTGAAGAGTTCCAAAGACTTTCAAAACCATTCAGTCTGTCAAAAATGTATAATATTATTACTCAAATTTGAAGTCACCCCCCCCCAAAAAAAAAGGAAGAAAAAAGAAGAAAAAGAATAGAAAGAATTAGTCAGTGTCTACTTCTGATTCCTGTTATATAGAAAAGGAAAAGGCCAGTGAAAATGTGTGTGTTTGTTAATGGTTTGGAAAGGCACTGATATTGCACACTCTGTAAAAGAAGCCATTTTTGGAAACTCAGAAAAAGTACTGCTTCACACCCCCCACCCCCCCACCCCGTCGAGTTACTTAGAATCTTATCTCAAGTGAAAGTTGATGGATTCATCTGCTTCGGCTGAAATTAAACTTATCATTAATCTAGAGTTTCAGCATGATATTGCAGGCACTTATCATTGCTAAAAATAAGCCAGAAAGTTTAACAGAAGCAGTTAGAGAAAGTGATTTAAACTTTGTTTAAAGAGGTATTTTCTAATTATGCACATATATCTACTTTATACAAATACTTTATATGGCTGTTTGTTTTTGAGAAAAACCTCACATTTTAATGTTTATGCTAGGGCTGAACCTGCAAATTCTGTTGCCTTTATTCAGATTTTCAAAGGTAAATATTGCTCTCTATTCTCCATGGTTTATTTCTTCTCTCTATTGCTTCTTTCTCCCACAACCCCCTTGAAGGCAGGGAATAGAGTTCTAGGAGATCTGAGGGGAAAAATATTTCTCTCCGCAGGAGGCAGCAGAAAACTGTCCGAGAGGTCAGTTGTTTTATCTGCCTTTCTACTCCCCTTTCCAGTTCCGCCGTGGTGATCTGAAGAAGAAAAAGAAATTATCTGTATGTATCTGTATATATGTGTATATATTTATATCTCCTGCTACAATAATTCCACATCCCAGTGACTAAGTGAACGTCTCAGTCATCATCATACTTATTTACCTTATATTAACAAATTCAAATGATGCTGCCGAAGCAACTCTAGGAGGAAAAAACAGGCTCTACATTTTTCTTAAATAGATGAGGGAGGAAAAGTTATACTTAACTTGTCTATTATTTTTAAAAATGCATTGTAATAATGTGGTATAGCTTCTCTGGACTAATCCATGCAGTGATTGTAAACGATTTCTTATATGTATATTTCTTATAAAGAAAATCCTATTTCTACTTCCTCCAAAGTACATTATAGACATTCAGAAAGAACAAGTGACTGGCTTGGCAAGCCACTCCCTCAGATAATGTAACCAAGTGACCAATAGCTCACAGTTTCCTTTTTATAGATGTACAGTGATTCAAATTGCTGCCTTTTCCTCCAGTGCATTCTTACTTGGGTCTTATCCTTTACAAAGCTCTGAAGCTGCTACAATAGAGAAATCAAAAGCAGTAACAGGATCTGAGATTTTACAATTTTATCCTATCATCTATCTTAAGACACACACATATGCACACACACACACACACACACACACACACACACACACACACAAGTTTAAGGGACATATCAATTTCACACACTGTTTTTTTAACAACAGCAACAACAAAGGTTTTGGTTCTACTAATTTATGTAAATACTTAATGTACGTATTTTTAACTTCACAAAGTCTTTTCTGAAATCTTCATGGTATGGCTTCTTTGAGTCTTTCTTTTGATAGCTTTTCAGACTGTAGGAAAATGATATTTTGAAATATTCACCCTGACTAATATTTAGGGGCATTTGCCATGCCATATTATCAGGCTGGTCAAGGTGGACATACTGATGAATATCACCTTTTCCAGATGTGAACTTGCCTTATTTTTTAGTTTGTGGGGGGGAAAAAAGTACTATTATTATTGATAAATTATATATTTGTATTTAGAATAATTCCACATGCTTTTCACAAACAAACATTATGAGACCATTCAGGGTCTTTCACGAAGGTCTGATAACTCAATTAAAGGGTTTGCTTCCCAGATTTATAGTGGTCCTGCTCTAGCCATTTGCAGTTTTGTTTTAGATTGAAACTTATCACCAGAAAAAAGTACATAGTGACATTTTTAGTATAGAACCAAATTATACTAAAGTCTTTTGTTGGGTTTATTACTGCCACACGTGAGAAGCACCAATTTATGCAGATTTTCTTCAGGATGTTTTTGAAAATTGCAAAACCCTTTAAAATGTGTACTAGTTGTACTAGTTTCCTTTGGCTGCTGTAACAAATTACTACAAACTTGGTGTCCTAACATATCAGAAATTTATTCTTTCATGGTTGTGGTGGCCAGATGTCCAAAATCAAGGGCCATGCTCCCTCCAGAGGCTCTAGAAGAAACTCTTCCCTTGCCTCTTCCAGCTTCGGGTAGCTATTGGCATTCTGCGGGTTACGGCCACATCTCTCTCTGCTCCATCTTCACATCACCTTCTCCTCTATGTATTTAACCTCCCTATGCCTCTCTCTTATAAGGACACTTTTGTTGGAATTTAGGGCCCACCTAGATAATCCAGGATAGTTTCATGTGAAGGCCCTAAACTTAATTACATCTGTAAGACCCTTTTTCCAAAAACGTAACATTCATAGGTTCTGGGGATTAGGATGTGGACATATCTTTTTGGAGGTGACCTTTAGCCCATGACAGTCTGCCCTCTGGACCCCCCCCAAATTTATGTCTGTCCCATGTGCAAAGTATATTCACCCTATCCCAACATTCCCAAAAGTCTCAACCCTAAGAAGTCTAAACTCTCATCCAAACATCTTCCGTTCCGAAGTCCCAAAGCTCACCTAGCTCATCTAAATCAGCTATAGGTGAAAACCCTGGGGCAAAATTCCTTTGCATCTGTGAATCAGTGAAACAAGACATTAACAGGGCCCCTGCTTCCAGAATACAGTGGTGGGACAGGCATATGATAATAGTTATAGACATTCCTATTCCAAAAGGGAGAAAATGGAACAAACTTAGAAAGGAGTCACCTGTCCTGATGATTTTCAGAATTTGGCCAGGCAGAATCCCCTTAGGTTTCAAGACTTGACAGTAATCCTCCTTGTCTCAGGGCTACATCCTTTAGGCCTGCAGCTCTGGCCTCTTGGCCCATGGATCAAGTCTCTGCCTCTGTGCCCATGGCTTGTACTTCTGCCTCTAAACCTGCAGCTCTGCCCTAGGGTTGATCTTTTCTATCGAAGGGTATCACCTCTTTGCAGCTCTATCAGCCTACTTCCTGCCTGTAAAATTTTGGTAGTCTGACCGCCTTCTCTAATTTTGTCCTGTCTCTGTCCCTTTCAGGCCAAGCTGGAACTGTTTCTGCTGGTGTAACTTTCTCAAAAATTTTGTAGGCTCCCCATATATATCATATTGATTGATTTACTAGTGAGACAAGAGAGTCCTCACAGATCTTTTGCCAGATAACACCACCTCTGTTCCTGGCTTCTACTGAGATGACTGAGTGGATCAGTGAGTGAGTCAATGCCTAATCTCTACAGCACTAGCCAAAGGTTATCCAGCCTTGTCTTTATCTCCGGAGCATACTATCCACACTATCCTAACAACAGTGAATCTTCATTTTAGCATGTTTTGCAATCTGAATAGGCTCAGAATTTCCTGAATCATCAAGTGCTGGGTCCTTTCTGCTTAACAGCTCTTTCTTCAATTTATCCCTTTCCTCTTATATTTTACTCTAAGCTCAGAAAAAACTAGGCCATACCGCCAATGCTTTGCTCTCAAATTTCCTCAGCTAAATATCCAAATTCATCACTTATAGATCTACTTTCCACACAACAGTTGTTGGAGACAATTTGGATAAGCTTTTTGCCGCTATATAGCAAGGATCACCTTTCCTCTAGTTTTCAATAAAACGTTCCTCAGTTCCTTCTGAGCCCTCATGAGACGCGCCTTTAACATTCCTATTCTTCCCGACGGTCTGTTTAAGGCAGTCCATGCTTTTTCTATCAATCAATCACATACTTCAAAATTCTTCCAGCCTCTACACATGAGCTAACTCCAAAGCCACTTCTACATTTTTAGGTATTTGTTACAGCAGTCCCTGACTTCCTGGTACCGAAATCTGTAGTTTGTTGCTGTGGTTGCTGTAACAGAGTACTCCAAACATGTTCACTTAAAACAACAGGCATTCATTCTCTTACCGTTTTGGAGACCAGAAGTGGTAAAGTGAGGTATGAGCAGGGCTGTACTCCCTCTGGAGGCTCTAGGAGAAAACCTGTTCCTTGCCTCTCCCAGTTTCTCGTGACTGTCATCATTCCTCGGCTTGGGGCCAAATCTCTTTCTGCTCTGTCTTCATATCACCTTTCCCTCTGTATGTCTAGTCTACCTCTGCCTCCTGCTTATAAAGACACTTGTGAGGGCATGTAAGGCCCACCGGTTTATCAGTGATAATCTCCTCATTTCAAGATCCTTAACTTAATTACATCATCTGTGAAGCCCCTTTTCCCAACTAAGTTAACGTCACGGGTTCTGAGAATTAGGTCATGGACGTATCTTTGGGGAGCCACCTTTCAGCTCACAACACTAGTCATTGCACATCAATGTACTTTTCACATTTTGAAATGCATCCTTGGTGCTCAAGCCAAATTCAAGGTTGTCGCTAAGAGCTATTGTATGCACAGGCTACTGCATGCTTTGATGTTAAATGGCTGAACAGGCTACTCTAAAATTCAGCTGATACTCTTGTTACTGTGGCCAATTAGCTTGAAAAAACAATTGGTTCCAACTTTGAGCTCTG